CCTTGCTTTTAAAATTAGACATTAAAGAGATGACTTAAGACCCACTAGCTTATCCCATAGAATTCAGTGCGTCCTCTGTTTAAGTAACTTTACACAGAAAAAATGTTACAATGGTGCCTGAGCCAAGCTTTGGGAAAAGAGGGCCGACCACAGGCACGGTGCTTTCATCTACAGGCTGAAATCTTAGCACGATGAGTGCTCCAACTCCCCCGTTTCGAGAAAATGATTCTGCAGCCACGATGGCCAAAAACTTCAAATGGCAACTTTTCTGATTCGAGGTAATTTCCCAGGAATTTAAGAGGCAATCATTTACTCTTGACTTTCAAAGAGAATCTGGGCTTAAAAGGCCCAGTTGTGTCTAAAATTGATCAGCTAGCGACAAGCCTCTGAAGTTGCTTGGGAGGGAGGGAGGGAAAGCGGCGGAGACACCTAGACATCTGGACTGAACTATCTGGTTCACTTTCCAGGTTGTAAATTTTCTGGCCCGAAGATTATTTGAAAATAACTTTTTACTGAAAAAAAGGGGATTTTTTTTTATTAGCTAAAGTACTAAAAATTTTTTTGATTACTTTGATATGAAACACTACAACTATAAAACTTACCAACATCTAATCTTTAAGGCTATACGCATTTAAGAAAATAGAATTTATAAAAAAAATCTAAGTCCTGAAAATATGGATTTTAAATTATGGTAGATGAGAACCTTATTAAATACACTGCTCTACAGCATATTCAACTAAATCAGAGAATTTGATAAAAAACGACACACTATGGGTGAGACTGAAATAATTTTGTCATTTGGAAATTTTCACATTGGTCCACCTACTTACAGAAAACATTTGAACAAAAGGACACAGACACACACCCAAACACACGTTTTTACTCAAAACTATATTTGAAGAACACCTTATAATCCTTTACATTTCAATCTTCCAATTTTGATCTTTTAATTCACTCTGAAATAAAGCCTAAGTAAGACATTAACAGTGTTGGTACATAGAATTTTAAAATAAAACTGCATATGGTTAAAAAAAATTTGCATCAAGGGCATATACATACATATTTCATAAGAAAATAAAAGTATGTACAAAAACTGCCTCTGCTCATTAGTGCTGATCCTAACGTTTGATTTTTATAATTGAGCACCACCATAAAACAAAACGCCTGGAGAGGAAGGTGATACAAAACCCTCGCCCCAGTGTCTCATTTTTCAGCTGCACCGGGAAGCTCCGGCTCTCCCCGGTTAGACAGCGCACTTAGAATCCTCCAGAGTTTGGGAGGGTCCTCACAATTGTGCTGCTGTTCCCAGTGCAGGAGGACTTCTTCTTTCGTCCCTAGCGTCTGTGCACAAAGGAGGCAGTTAAAGCCTGAGTGGGACCCAAGGAGACATGCCTGGGGGCCGGGACAGGCAGGGCCCTGGGGGACCCCTTCCGGCTCTCTGGGTCCTGGCTCACTGGGTCTCTGCTGGGCGCCTTCACTTTTTGGGAGTATTTCCACGTCATCCTGATGATGAAGGCAGAGTTGTCTTTTCAATTTAGAAAATGCATGTGCTTCCTCCTCAGAGGGACAATGCTTCGGCAGCTTTCTTCTCTCAGGATGCTGTTTCCAGGAAGGAGAGGCCTGTTTAACCAGCTCTTCCTGAGCTGCCTGGCTTCCTGGGGTGATCGCCTCTTGTAGCCTGCCCTGAATTTCCTCTCCATGAACATAAAGTAAATGAAACTTTATTTCAGCGAAAGACTGGACCGTGATCTGACAGCGGCCACATTTGATTTGTAGTTTGACTTCGTCTGCCTGGTTCAGAAAGAGGTCTTCTTCCAGGCTTGCCTTGTTTTCCCTAAAAAAGGGGAAGATAACAAGATAAGATTCCTCAGAAAAACACAACCGGGAACTTTTCCTTTAGAATTCAGCTTATAGCCGTCAAGGATCTAAAACACACCCCCTGGTGAGGAGCACAAAGGATGGGTGGACAGAGAGCATGGGAAGACCTTCAGCAGAGGTCACGGTGAACCTCAACTTCACTCCTACTTGGGGTCACTCATTTCTCAAGCTACCAAGGTCCACGCAGTAAGTGAGCATTTCCCTTTCAGTGTCTCCCCGGGGGAGTTGACTGGTCGTTGGTTACTAGAGGAACAGGTGTCATCAATGTGAGAGTCAGGGAGCACCAGGTGAGGCGCTCCGGGAACACGCTTGGTCTGGTTACAGGTCACAGTCCCACACTTCCCACTGTTGACCTCCTCAACCTTGAAGACCAAATGCAGTTTGGACATTTTACCTAAAAATCAAAATGGACTATAGGAAAACAATTCTGAAGAGAAGTTTCTTCAGGGAGGCTGCTATGTACATTAGTAAAAGGCAAAGGTGTCTAAAAGGGGACAGAAGATGCCTAAAGAAAAACAGAGAAGCTATAGAAACGCCAGGAAGAAGGACAGGGACCCCTTATTTTTAACGAACATTGACAGAGTAAGCTAAAATTGGACAGTGTTTAGAACAATTAGGACAACTAAGCACAACAAGGAGCAGAGAATGTAGTGTTGGAAAGGGTTTCATTTTCATGGTGCTGATGAGAATTCAGTCTCGTCAAACTCGCTCTGTCATCTAGTGGAAAGTGGACAAGATGACAGCCTTTCCCTGGTTTACTTATTGCTCTAAGAAAGACCTGCCTGCAAGGCTTACAAATGACTTAGCTGGTTTGTTTACACTGCCTGGAAGCAGTACCTGCAAAAGGGAATAATCTGGCCTGACAGGTAAAACTGGGCAAACGTAGAGGGTTCCAGTCTGGACACCTTGGGTTTGGTCAGTGCAGCACACCTAAGCCCAGGTGCCACCACGGGTCACGTGATGTTCCGGGGTAAATGGTGTTTCGATACCAATTCTGAGGACATCATGTTGGGGGAAATTATTTGTAAAGAGAACCAGGAACTAGATACAACATTTGTCATTTCATATTTCAGATGGACAAATAATCTCTCACCTGACTGTCCCCAACATAGCTCACACAGGCAGCTGTGGCCTGGCTTACAGGGGTTAGAGTTATTACAAATCATGATCAGAAACCAAGGAGAAACGGGATCATTCTTCACAGAACTAGGGGAAGAGGTAGCTACCTCATAAAATCTTAATTGGAGAGATGTTTTTACAGACTCATCTTTCTGATATGAAATCTGAGCCTGTTCCCCAAATCCAAATGGGCTTTCCTGCTAGGCTTCCACTCCACTGGCTCTCACCTGTGCACGGGTCCCTCCATCCCTCGCACAGTCACGTCTCTGTCTCTGTCCTTCAGTGTGTCCCCTGGCTGCGGTTCGCTGGGAGAGGGCTCGGTGCTGATGACCACCCTATGCACTTCTTTCAGGTGGCCGAAATAGACTCTGACGTGACCAAACACTTTTGCACAAAACTCACAGCACACGAGTTTCTTCAGCCGGTTCTCACCATGATGAAGTTTCATGTGTGTGCTCAGACTGCCAGAACGTACATACGCCTTGCGACAAATCCGACAACTGTAAGGCCGTCTGTTGGTGTGTGTATTCATGTGGTCTCGAAGGTGCTGTTTGAACTGAAAGTGGTGGTTACAGACGGGACATCTGTGCCAAGGCTTCTTAATGCCAGAGAATCCATTTCTGAATGCAGAGCTGGGCTTAGGGGAAGGGCTGTTGTCCTGTTTACAGCCGAGATATTTAGGAATGAGTGAATTATTTAACAAAACGTCCTGTCCTAGGCTGCTGGGCCTTTGGGATTGTAACATAGCTGCGGGAGAAGGCAGAGGAGCCAAAGCGGGCATGACGATGACAGGCTTAGGCATAATGCTACGATATTTTTTCAGAGCCCCAGGTTTTTGGTCTCTGGATTCTTGGGAATCGTTTTTTATTCTTTTACATTTCTTCCTTTTCCCCTGAAAGGCCAAAATTTCATCTGGTACCTTTAGTTTTCTTCCTTTTCTCTTTGTTGCCCCACCATTCAGTTTTGTTTTGTGGTTTAGATCCAGTTTGGCAGCTGGATAAAAGGCAGCGTCACAGGGGCTGCGCTTTGACAGCTGTGGACCAAGTACCTTGTTGGCTATTCTGGTGGCTGTGTTCAAGCCGCCTGTGATGGAGGATATCTTATTGCAGTCTGCCCTGAGCCCAGGTGAAGAGAAATCCGCAGTGTTAACATCTGACTCACTTTTGTAAACCTCTGTCGTTTTCACTCTTGAGTAGGGTAAGATTGGCAGCTTGCCTTTGGGGACTGAGGGGATCAACTGAAGTCCATTGCCAAAAAGGGCTGTTGATAACTTGATCGTGCCTTTTGCAAGGTCAACTTGTTCTTTATGGTTTTCACTGACAACAGCAGCAGGTTTACTGGGTGCTTGCTTGCGTGAAATGTTTTCTTTCCCTGAAATCTTCATGAGGCCCGGCTTGGCAGAGGGCTCCTCTGGTGTGGATGATGTTGGGCTGTCGGGAAGGTTCGGATCTCCATGGTCATCGGTCACTGGAGGTCGAGAGTCTCCATGGCCACCTACACTGGTCAGGGCAGCCATTCCGACACTGGCTGGTGCCTGGTCTAGTGACAGCACTGGCTTGGGTGGACTGGGTGAGGGTGGGGGTTCAGAATGGTCAGGTGGGGAAGGGGACGTTTGGGTTTGGGCAAGAGGTTTGCTACAGTCACTCTCAGAGGAGCTCAGAACGGGTTTCTTTCTCAATCCTTTCCTGTTTCTTGCAGGTTGGTATCGAGGTATAGGCAGTTTAAGGTTTTCAGGCAGGGGCAGTCTGGGTTTCTGGATGGGCTGAGCTGAGGCGACATGTGGAAATGCAATGAGAGAAAATGTCCCCTCCTGGCCAGCGACCTGCATCAGAGCATAATTCTGGGCGGGCACCTCCAGCGGTGTGGAGCTGATGGAGGGTCCTGGAGTCCCCTGATCAGAGACCGATGAAGAATGGCACGGCAGCACTCTGGGTGTCAGGACTCTGGGCACGATTTTCGGTGCAATGGTCCTAAACTGACTCTTATTCTGCAAAACTTTTCCACTCTGTATCGTTCCAGAAGGCATGACTAATTCACCTGCAATGACAACACAATGTGAAAAGTCACTCTGGTGTAACTATCCTGCTGTGGGGAGTGCACATAAGCATCTGATCATTTACTCAGCCTAGAATACATTCCGAGACCCACCCCTACTCTTCTGGGCAAGCTCCTGTGTTCTGCGACACCCAGCTGGAAGGTCAACTCCCACCCACCTCCCCCAGGGATCGATTATTATTCACTTCTATGGTTCCACAGCCCTTATCATAACATTTGCCGGTTTCCCTAATAATTAATCTGTTTATGTGTCTCTGTTACTGAACAGAGCTTCTTGAGGGCTTGGACTCTGTCCTTTCTTTATTCCGCCAAGTCCATCCTCTCTATTAACCTACTTCCGATTCATCCTTTTAGGCCAGTGCAACCCCCACCTCCTTTGTTGATCTCCTGAGCTGTGAAGTCTCTCCTCTGGTCTGTTCTGCTGTGCATTTTACTTATTATATATACATGTCTTGTTTTCCCTATAAAAGTGAAGCTTTGTGAGGGTGAAGCCACTATTTAATTCATCTTGATATTTCCCACTTTATCTTCGGTATGAAACAAATGTTTCTTGTATCGAACTCATTTTTCACTCAATTTCAGGATACACCATTTGACCCATTGGCAGTGTGATTTGTTTTGCACAGTGGATGAATTCCAGAATGAATGCTAGCTTTGTTGCCGTTTCCCCATGTGACTTGTGAATTTCTTCTCACACCTTTCAAACTGTTTATGTGTGCTTTTGCAATTAAATCACCAGTATTAAAAAAGCTGATGTGACACCTTAAAAATATGTTGAAGAAAAACAAAAAGATACACATTGATCAGTAAAGATACAGAGATAACATAAAAAAATACATAAATCACACCAAAAGCACCTGCTAGGGCACTAATAGGAACAATTTTAACTGACAGAATAACACTTTATATTCCCCGGCTTTATTAGGACTGAAGGCCAATCACAAATACTCTAAGAGAAAAAATTAAGGAAGCATTTCAAGACACTGCTTTTAAGGACTGAATCATCTATTTTGTTCCTGAGGCCTCCAGGTCGTAAGTCCTGGCTGCAGAAAAGGTTCTCATTTCTGAGTACCCCATTTTAGTCAGGCTTCCCTCCAACTCACATTTACTAGGTACCTACGCTATTCCAAGGATTGCCTATTACAGGCCCACAATCCCTTTCCTAACAACTCTGTGGCCCAATGTGCTTTGGCATTTACACTTTCAATTTTTAGAAAAGTAACAGATGCATACACGCAATGTTACATAACACTCATCAGAGCCTGCAGAGCACCCCTAATTAAATCTATTACCATTTCCGTGGCAAAATATATGAGTGACTATTCTCAAAAAGTAGGACACGTAGTTTTAAATAGTCTTAACTCAGTTCAGATTTTGCCTCTGCATGAGTTTGGCACCCAATTTTTGATAACATTTTCTGTTTTCAGAGCTTTTTCGATTTTGGAGTTATGAATCAAGGATTAACTATTTGTTTAGGGGATGCCAAGGATACAAAGATGAACAGCTTCTGCCCTAGATAGCTGGCAATCTAGTGAAAGAGAAAATTAATTTTTTTTCCTAAATCAACCTTGCTTTTAATGTCTACAGCTAGTGAACTAACAATTATTTTGGCAGAAAGTTGATTCTTTCAGCAAAAATGATATTCTCCAAATAAACAAATAAATAGCATAGTAGGAATAAGATCGAAACTTGTACTGATCAACTTATTTTAGGAAGTAATCACTGGGGAAGAAAAAAGTATGTTAAAAACATAGTTCACATGGTAGTTTTTATTAGAGTAAGAAGGAAAAAGACTAGTACTGTGGTCTGGAAAACTCACATAAGGATAATTACATTGTTTTTCCTTTTTAGCTTTGCTACCATGAAGTTCATGAGTAAATTAATGGGTCAATTACATCACCATAGTCACCTAAATAGATCTGCTACATTTGCTTCTTCTTCGTATTTAATTTTCTTATATTTTAGTTTATTTTCATCGCCTTGAAATTTAAAACCTTCATTTTAAGCCTCATCCTTTTATCTTTGTAGAAGTACTGAAGTAAGTTTCAAATAAATATATTAAATTGGGATTGCAAGAGTTTGCAGAAAGCTTAAAATTATTGATAGCTTTTGGTTAGCTAGAGACAAAGCTTATGAAATAATAACATTAATAATAATAACGGTTTTTGCATCTACACAACAGATCGGGGTGAGGAAAGAAGAGGAGGAAACATCGGGTAATTTATATCTAGTTCAAACTCCTAATTGAATGAGCTCAAGATAGTTACAGCAAGAAGACCTGGAAGGAAGACTACTTTGTCCTTAATCATAATCCTCTTGAAACGATATGCAACACTAATACATCACAGCATATCACCTCACTTGTCTGCTCAAAAGGGTCCAGTGGCCCTTCATCTCAGAGCCAAAGCCGAAGCCCCTGCAATGGCCAACAAGGCCTCCTGCCATCGCCTCCTCCTCAGCCACATGGCCTCTTTGCTGCTCTTTAAGGTACCACATTCCCATGTCCTCAGTCTTTGCACTTGCTGCTCTCACCGTCCAGAAACTCTTTTTCTAGCCAAGGCCCCAGTACTTGCTGCAGAATTTCCTTCAAGTTTTGCTCAAATGGCCTCTTCCCTGTGAGCTTTTCTCTGACCACCGTATTTAAAACGGTCCCTCCATTCTGAGCTCCCTACCTCCTTTCCTGTCTCAGTTTTCTCTACCAGTCTTGCTCCATCTTATGGATTATGTTATGGTCCACCGCTGTCCCCCAGTGGAGTGGATGCCTTGAGGACAGGAGCTTGCCTGTATCTTCAGGGCCTAGGACAGTGTTGGGCAGGTGGTAGAAATGGAATAATTACTTGTTGACTTTGTAAATTGTACTAAAATTATTAATGGCTGAAATAAAGAATTTACAGGTTGAGCCTTTAGAATTTTTTCTAAAAAAATGAAAAAAATAAAAGACACAATTTGAAAGCAAACTTTAACATTTCCAAATTTTAAATGTTTAAAAATAAATAGAGGGTGTATCACTGGAAAATTGTTTATTATTTTTTAAATTTAATTTCACTGATTGCCAGAATAAGGCAATGGGTTAGTACCATGATAAAACCCTTTAAAGTAAAGGGGTGGGTGAGGCTAACCGATGAACCATCTGAGGAAATAAGAGACAATCGTAAATGATGCTTCTGGGGTACAGACTCAAATAGTCAAAGAAGGAAGCAAGGTCTGAAGAAGAAACTGCTTTCTGGAACAGACAGACGTAAGAGAAAAAAGAGGGGGATTAGAGTGCAGAGTGGAGAATCAACCAGAAATGGAAACGCTGAACCTCAGAGGCAGCAGATGGTAATGTCAACACGAAGAGGAGCAGAAATAACAAAGAACAGAAGATGCAGCTGAAGCAACAAGCAGTGGTCAAGGTCAACCTGAAGTCTCTAAAGACTTAAGTTGGGCAGGGGCTTCTATTTTTTATGATCAAGTGTAAGAAAGCAACCTTCTGACAATTAAGGTTTCCAGAACTGAGGCTCGGTAACTTTATAGAGCCATTCCACAGGGGAGGGAGCTAATTATGATGCATATGAAGTTAATGTGCTTCCATTGATCTTCAAAAGTTTGCACATTAGAGTGGAAATGAAATCACACAGGAAGAGCAATGCTATTCAAAGGGAAAAGGGACCAACTAGAGTCTAGGAGCAAAGGAAACCCTTTAGGGTAACTAGTGGTCCCAGCAAGGGAGAATACTATTCCGGGAGCAGCCTCGGCAACTTGAAATGACAGAGTCGTAAATGACAGGTATGGGGCCTGCCAAAGTTAGTCCCCCTCAAGTTCCCTACGATTTAAAGAAGTGGGGACTGAGGTTGACAAGTTTACCAGTTGGCTTCATGGTCAATGATCACGAGCTAATCACAAGCAATCTGTGGGGTGAAAAGATATGGCCTTGTTGGGTAAGCTTCACTCATTCACGCTTTCCTGGATCTATTGGAAGTACATACAAGGGGGAGGGTCTCCATAAAGGTGTGTTGAGTCCCATTTCCCAGAATCATTAAGGAGGAAGAGGTAGGGAATGAAACTGATGTGTTAGAAGAAATACAAGGAGTAAAAGGGAAGGGCCACAAAAACAGAAGAAAAAAAAAAAAACAAGACCCTAGGGATTACTTAAATGTCTAGCAACAGGGTACACATAGAATCATACAATGTAATATTATGAAGCAGTAAAAAAGAAGAATGAGTTAGACTGATATAGAATACTCTCCAAGGTGTAAGATTTGGTATGCTATCACTTGGATTAAAAAAATAAAAGTGAGATACACACACAAATATATTCCTGTATACACACAGGAAGTCTCCGAAAAGAAACACAAGAAATGAGTATTAGTGGTGGGCTTTGGGGTTGGATCTCTGGGGGCTAAGAGGTCAGGGTGGAATAGGTGTTTATTTTCCACTGAATACTCTGAAAGCTCTGTGCCTGGCATACAGGAGATGCTTATAAATGTTTGTTGAATGAAGGAAAGGAAAAAGAAAGTTTTCCTATTTGAATCTGTTTATTTAAAGGATAGTTTTTGGGATATTTGTGATGGGTAAGCGTGTGTGTATGAACAAATGACTGTGGCTAGATCACACACAGAGTGTCTCACGTTTTTCCTTTTCCTTGCCTACTTAATGACAAGCACTGCTAATGATAAGGAAACCAATCTAATAATCTGACAGGCAGTGCTGCATCACTGTCCCCCACAGTTAAGCCCTGAGGAGTATCAGAGCTCACTACCTGCCCTAAGAAAAGAAGTCCTGAGGATGGTTCCTCCAAACGTTTGGCTTTTTAGGATAAAGCAAGGCAAATTGCAATAAAGGTCAGTTATGCTAGAATAGCTACATGGGCTTTTTTTTTTTTCTTTTAAAGTAGTTTGAATAGGAGTTGTTAGAGAAGCTGAAAATGACATTAATTTAGAGCTTTTCAAACTCTAAAACACTAAGATGGTGTGGCTGTAGGAAGCCTTTCTTTGCAATGT